CAATATATCGCCTTGCTTACAGTATCGCAATATATCGGGATATATCGTATCGTGACCCCTCTGTTATGATATGTATCGTATCGCCAAATTCTTGCCAATACACAGGTCTAGTATTAAGTTGAGCTTTATTACTCGTATGTTGCACGGTTTTTTTTAGATACATATATTTTTTTAATTGGGGGCAGATGTTATAAGATTTTATTCTTCTTACTGCTCCTTTTCATTCGACTACGTTGTGATTGTCTTTTAGACATAACAATGTTGTATTATTTGTTTGTTCTTTTATTAATTATTTGTTTGTTGAATGAAATAAATTTCTAAACTAMACTAAAAGTAAATTAAAAACAGTTCAACAATAAATACTGTATGTCATCAGTGCTGATGAGACTGTTCTGACTTGGAGTTTAAATCTGACCTGTAATGATCTAAGACATTACTACCATGTGAAAGTAGACAAATCAAAGATAAATGGGGGTTGGACAAATAAAAAWAACTTTTGAAACAAGAGCAGTGGTTGGTACAGTTGCTAACCGTGGGAGTGACGTGCTTAGCTGGAGACGAGGAAGAGAAGGGATTACTTCCACTAAACAGCCACTGGTCTTTACAGCAGGCAGGTCCTCCAGTAGACAATCACTGGTCACACCAAACACKGACGTGTGGTAACCTGTAGTCAGATCCAGAACAAAGAGCCTTGAGCTGTAAGCTACAGAACCATTTCAAACATGGTTTCAGAATAATTGACTGTGTCAAAGAAGAACTGACCGTTGACAGTGATGTTTCCAGCTGTGCGTGGAACCCCAACCAGAGTAACAGGGTACAGGCCGGACTCTGCAGGCAGGGACAGTGCTGCAGGCAAAGACTCAAACTCTACTCCAGAAGTCAGCAAACCCTGGCAGAAAAACAGGATGGATCTTCCTCAGCAACAAACMAAGGGAAAGTTTTATTCAAAATGTCCCTGATAATACCACTGAGCAGAAACCAGTCATCCCTGAAACCAAAAACTTCTCTGATTTATCAACTTTTGGACACTTTCTGCAGCCCAGGCCAATAAATTATATTTGTTTTATTCTTTAAAAAAATGAAGTGTAGTTGTGTAATTTACCAAGAGAAATTCTCTGTGAGGTTTCTCCCAAACGGCTTCACACCATCAATCCTGAATACACAATTTTTGCTGGAAATTCAAACACTGAAAAAAATTATATGTCTGATGGGAAACTGAAAAAAAGTCCCGGGAGGGAGGGATCAGAAGAGTCCAAATTYAACAGCCCAGAGAGCAGCATGTCCCTGAAACATTTCTCTTCTGCATGACAACGCACAAACATCTATTTTCACACTGAAAAAATATACTGAAGACTGAATTAAAATCAACTCAAATGCTGTTTAAGACAGGAAGAGCACACAGTAGTTTGATTATCAGCAGACCGTTTTTTTTTCTTTTCTGTCAAATGATTTTAATGMTTACATAGATTATATGTCCTAATTATAAACTGGTACATACCAAATGCTGAAATTGTTACAGSCTAACCAACAAAAACGCACAGTGTGTACGAGCTAAGAATAACTAGGCAGTACTGTCATTCTGTACAGACGGAGGTGATGTAATGACTGCTCAATCCTGAACCACAGACACTACCTCACAGGGAGAGCTGCTGAGGAGCTGAACTTCTCAGTTACCCTGTGATTTAAAGCAGATTCTCTACWGCACAAGAACAATACCTGCTTTTCTTGAACAGCACAAGTTTCTGTTTTAACCTATTGAAAACCRTTTGCATTCTGAAGAGAAAAGGTTAGTTTGCTTCACTAAAAACAAAGGCAGGTGTAATGTTTATTTGATTTATATATTTACCCAGGCAGAACAAATTCTTACAGCGGGTAAAATAAGTATTGAACACGTCACCATTTTTCTCAGTAAATATATTACTAGAGGTGCTAATGACATGAAATTTTCACCAGATGTTGGT